GTAGTAGTAGTAGTAGTAGTAGTAGTAGTAGTTCGTAGTAGTAGTAGTAGTAGTAGTAGTAGTAGTAGTAGTAGTAGTAGTAGTAGTGGTAGTAGTAGTAGTAGTAGTAGTAGTAGTAGTAGAAGTCGTAGTCGTAGTCGTAGTCGTAGTAGTAGTAGTAGTAGTAGTAGTAGTAGTAGTAGTAGTAGTGGTAGTAGTAGTAGTCGTCGTAGAGTAGTCGTCGTCGAAGCAGTGAGTAGTAATAGTATTATGAATGTTGCTAGTAAGGTAGTTAGTAGCTATAGTAGTAGTAGTAGGAGCCCCCCCCCCGCCCTACATCGCCTTCCAAGCGCCTGAGGCCACATCTGTGACCCCTTCAAGCACCTCCTCCTCCTCATCATCAACAGCATCCTTATCCTCCCCATTATTATCATCATCAGCGGCCTGGGTTGAACACGACGAGAAGGCTTAATCTCAGCGGCCTTGGTTGATCCAGCGGAGGGCGGGCGGCGTGTATAAGAGAGACTGAGGACTCCCACCAAAAATCCCGAAAACGAGCGACTGCAAACAAACCCAAAAATTCCAAACAACCCAAACAAGAATGGCCTCTTCTTCCAAGCACCAAACCGGACCGGGTGTCGCGAGCTCTCCTCCCAGCGAAGCTCCCTCCACCTCTCGCCTTGGCCAGGCGCAGGCGTGCCCTCGGGCACGAGTGGCCTCTGCTTCGCGGCCCGCAGGCCGCGGCGTGCGCTGCGACAGAGGCGGCCCGCGTGCGCGGGTGTGCCCTCTATGGAGGAGGAGGAGGAGGAGGAGGAGGAGGAGGAGGAGGAGGAGGAGGAGGAGGAGGAGGAGGAGGAGGAGGAGGAGGAGGAGGAGGGAGGAGGGAGGAGGAGGAGGAGGAAGAGGAGGAGGACGAGGAGGAGAGAGGAGGAAGAGGATGATGATGATGATGAGGAGGAAGATGAGGAGGAGGAGCGCCCCCCGAAAGCCGCGCACCAGGGGTCGTAGGGGCACCGTTGCGTGTAGCCGCCTGGGGCCTCCCCTGGCGGCCCTGGTCGGCACGTCCGAGATTCGGCGGCGAGCGAGGGGGGGAACGAGAAGGAGAATGCCTTCTCGGAAGGCGGCGGGCCTTCTGAGATCTTCTGTGCCCAGCGGGAACGCTTTTAGACAACTTCTCGAGAGGCCCGGGGACTTGTGCAAGCCTTCTGAGAAGGCCCGCCCCTTCTCGCTTCCCCCATGGGCTCGCCGCCGAGGAAAGGTGCCCAACAGTCGAACAATGGATCGCCAACAGAATTGATGTGCCCCAGAGCTTCTTTCCTCGTTGAGTCTTCGGGAAAAATTAGCCTGGCGAAGAACCCAACCATATGCAGTTGTCAGTACCGCAGCTGCGGGTTTCATCTTCAATGGAACTCCCCATAGGACTACGGAACGTGTGAGGGGTGTGCCGAGATGGGTGCCACTGGGGCATTCGGCGAAGCTCCCTATGGGGACATGAAACACGCGCGGGGCGTGCCGACATGGGTGGCGGAAACGCATGTGCGGGCCGCCACTGGGGCCTCCAGTGGAGCTCCCTATGGGTCCCCGAAACATGATGCTGCTGCGGGGGGGGGGGGGCCGGGATGGGTGGCGGAGACGCATGTAAGCGCCGCTACTGGGGCCTTCGGTGGAGCTCCCTATGGGGCCACGAAGCGCGTGAGGGGTGTACTGGGATGTGTGGCGGGGACGCATGTGAGCGCCGCCACTGGGGCCTTCGGTGCAGCTCTCTATGGGGCCACGAAACGTGTGAGGGGTGTGCCGAATTGGGTGCGGGTGGTGACGCATGCAGGCGGTGCCACTGGGGCCTTCGGTGGAGCTCCCTATGGGGCCACGAAACCTGTTGTTGTGAGGGGCGTGCTGGGATGGGTGGCGGGTACGCATGTGAGCGCGGCCGCTGGAGCCTTCGGTGGAGCTCCCTATGGGGCCACGAAACGTGTGAGGGGTGTGCCGAATTGGGTGGGTGTGGGTGACGCATGTGAGCGCCGCCACTGGGGCCTCCGGTGGATGGGGCCACGAAACCTGTCAGGGATGTGCCCAAATGGGTGTGCGGGACGCATGCGCATGTGAGCGCCGCCACTGGGGCCTTCGGTGGAGCTCCCTATGGGGCCACGAAACGTGTGAGGGGTGTGCCGAATTGGGTGTGCGGGACGCATGCGGGCGGCAGCACTGGGGCCTTCGGTGGAGCTCCCTATGGGGCCACGAAGCGTGTGAGGGGTGTGCCGAATTGGGTGTGCGGGCGCATGCGGGCGGCAGCACTGGGGCCTTCGGTGGGGCTCCCTATGGGGCCACGAAACGTGTGGGGGTGTGCCGAATTGGGTGTGCGGGACGCATGCGGGCGGCAGCACTGGGGCCTTCGGTGGAGCTCCCTATGGGGCCACGAAACGTGTGAGGGGTGTGCCGAAATGGGTGTGCGGGACGCATGCGGGCGGCAGCACTGGGGCCTTCGGTGGAGCTCCCTATGGGGCCACGAAACGTGTGAGGGGTGTGCCGAATTGGGTGTGCGGGACGCATGCGGGCGGCAGCACTGGGGCCTTCGGTGGGGCTCCCTATGGGGCCACGAAACGTGTGAGGGGTGTGCCGAATTGGGTGTGCGGGACGCATGCGGGCGGCAGCACTGGGGCCTTCGGTGGGGCTCCCTATGGGGCCACGAAACGTGTGAGGGTGTGCCGAATTGGGTGTGGGGACGCATGCGGGCGGCAGCACTGGGGCCTTCGGTGGGGCTCCCTATGGGGCCACGAAACGTGTGAGGGGTGTGCCGAATTGGGTGTGCGGGACGCATGCGGGCGGCAGCACTGGGCCTTCGGTGGGGCTCCCTATGGGGCCACCACTGGGACGTGTCTGGGTGTGGGCTCCCTATGGGGCCACGAAAAGGGTGTGCCGAATGGGTGTGCGGGACGCATGCGGGCGCGCACTGGGGCCTTCGGTGGGGTGGGGCACGAACAGGGGTGTGCGCGGGACGCATGCGGGCGGCAGCACTGGGGCCTTCGGTGGGGCTCCCTATGGGGCCACGAAACGTGTGAGGGGTGTGCCGAATTGGGTGTGCGTGACGCATGCGGGCGGCAGCACTGGGGCCTTCGGTGGGGCTCCCTATGGGGCCACGAAACGTGTGAGGGGTGTGCCGAATTGGGTGTGCGGGACGCATGCGGGCGGCAGCACTGGGGCCTTCGGTGGGGCTCCCTATGGGGCCACGAAACGTGTGAGGGGTGTGCCGAATTGGGTGTGCGGGACGCATGCGGGCGGCAGCACTGGGGCCTTCGGTGGAGCTCCCTATGGGGCCACGAAACGTGTGAGGGGTGTGCCGAATGGGTGTGCGGGACGCATGCGGGCGGCAGCACTGGGGCCTTCGGTGGGGCTCCCTATGGGGCCACGAAACGTGTGAAATGCGGGCGGGGGCACTGGGGCCTTAGCACTGGGGCTCCCTATGGGGCCACGAAGCGTGTGAGGGGTGTGCCGAATTGGGTGTGCGGGACGCATGCGGGCGGCAGCACTGGGGCCTTCGGCGGAGCTCCCTATGGGGCTACGAAACGCTGTGCTGGGCGGGTGAAACGCAAGGAAGAGGGGGAGGAGGGAGGAGGAGGGGGAGGAAGGAAGGAAGGAGACGCGGGGCACCGTCTCTTCAAAACGAGGACCCAACACCACAGGATGGTTGGGAAACACCTACAGGATGCTCCGTAGATCTACGGAGCGTTCGGCATATCCTTCCTAGATTCGACGGACAAATCCATTCTGGGGTGTATGGATTCTGCAGTCGATCCCTTGCTCAAAACCGTAGGAAGTGTGGTCCAGCACCGACGGCGGTTGCTGCTGGGCAGGCGCCTCCATGTCTCAGGGGGACAACTCCCGCGGCGACACCGACAACGAATCCAGTTTAGAAGGGGCGGGCGGACTGCCGTCGATCTTCGTCCCTGCTCTTTCCGTACCCGCCTCGATCGTGCCAGACCTCTGGCCTAGAGGAACAACACGCAGCATGAGCATCAGTTCTCGGAGGTCCGCGCGGATTTTGTCGATCGGCGCTGGAACCGATCCAAGAAATCCGTGCCCAGGCATGCGATGTCCTGACTTCTTCATTGCGGGGTCCCTGGAAGTCTCGACCCCTTCCCCAGCGCCGGTTCTTCGCCCCACGTAACTTGTTGAGGCTCCTGGGGCCCAGCGAGGAGGCCGAGACTGGCCAAAAACCTCCCGTCCTGATCTTTTCACGGCGCGAGCATGTCTGGGTGCCGACCTCCGAGGAATCAGTTTCGTGCCGTGTGCTTTGCTCTTTTCGCTTCCAGTGTACCCCATTGCTTGCTCACCGGCGTCTGGCTGTCTTTGACCACTTGGCGCCCACGAACTTTAAAAAACATGACCCCCGCGCGACCCCAATCAGGGGAAAGCTTTGTATTGCATGGGCGCAATGCTTAGCATTGTTTGGCATTACTTGGGGAAACCGGGGAGCCCGCGGAACCTGCGGAACCCGGGGAACCCGGGGAACCTGGGGAACCCGGGGAACCCGATGAATCTCTGGGGAACGGCCAAAGTAAGCCCCCGAAGCCCCAACCTTTAACCATGTAGGAGCCCCTTAGGCAAGCCTAATCGGAGAATTATCTCCCAGAGATTCGATGTCGTGATTTTTTCAATACGGGGTCCCCAAAAGTCTCGACCCATTACCCAGGACCAGTTTTTCATCCTGAGCCGTTTTTTGACGGTCCCGAGGCCCGGCGAGGGCCCCTATGGGCCAAGAACTGCGAACAAAAAACCTCCGTCTTGATTTTTCCAAGGCGCTGGATCTCTGGGAGCTTCTTGCTCTTCGAGGGCCTCTGGCCGCTCCTCGGCGGGTCGCCGGCGGCCCGGCGGGCGGGAGGCGCCTGCTGCCCCGCCAGCGCCGCCCGCAGCGCGCTGGTGCGCAGGGAGCGCCGCAGCAGGAGGCGCAGCCGCGGGCGCAGGTCGGCGGAGCGCCTCTGCGCCTCGGAGGGGGCGACGACGACGGCGACGACGACGACGACGACGACGAGGACGAGGGCGAGGACGACTGGGGCGCTCTCGTCGCCACTACAAGCGGGAGTATCGAGCATCGATCGGCGGTCGAAGTTCCAGGGCCGATCGGGCGACTATCCAGGGGGCGCTTGCTCCCCGACGTGCCGATCCGCATGTCTTCTGGTCCAGGGGGTGGCCTCAGAGGCCTGCCAGCGGAGGCAGCGGCCGGAGGCGCGCACGAGCTGCCCGCTCGCAGAGGCGCCCGGCACGGCGGCGGCGAAGGGGCGCGCGGAGGAGCCCGCGCGGATGGGGCGGGAAAGCTCGGATGCCCACCGAGCGACGAAGGCGAGGGGGCCTTACATCGCCATCGCTCGGACGTGCCTTCCCCGTGCGTGGTTCGATCTCGTGCGTGATTTTGTTGCTGGATGGTCGATCCAGGATGCTCCTCGACGGACCTCGCCGAGAAAAAGAGCGCACGCCCGAGCGATGCAGAGGTTACGCGAGGTGGCACAGCGACTTGACACCGCGGCTTACGCGGGCCAGGCGCGAGGCACGCCACGCCGAACACGCGGGCGTTTGCGCGCGTCCCTGCGCGGGCAGCCGACGCGCCCATGCCGGTGCAGGGTCGCAGTGCAGGCCCCTGCGCGCCTCGCCTCGCAACCGAGCTGTGGCAACAGGCGCGCGGCCGCCATCGCGGGAGGAGGGCCGGAGCGGGGAGGGCCACCGATAGCTGCCTCCTGGGTGGGCTCCGAGCAGGTGGGGTCGGAGGATCGCGCCGCACCGCCGATGCCTCGTCGATGCATCGGCATGGAGAAATCGGGCTCCACATCGAACCACATCACCGATGCATCGGTGATGCGGCGGGATCCTCCGACCCTATCTGCTCGGTCTCCGTCTGGGAGGCCTAGAGGAACGGAGCGGAACTCCCAAAGAGCCTCCTGTTTGATTCGCCCCAAGGGGACCCCAGGAGGCCCCCAAGAGGCCCCAAGAGGCCGCCAGGCCCCCAGGAGGCCTCCCCCCAAGAGGCCCCCAAGAGGCCCTCACGAGGCTCCCAGGAAGCGCCACAACTGCCACCCAGAGGCCCCCGACAGCCCTCCGAAGAGACCAGAAGAAGCCTCCATGAGGATTCTGGCCCACAACCCAGCACCGGGGGGCGGGATGGGCCTAAGGCCCATGTATATATATATATATATATATATATATATATATACATACACACATCTCTCTCTCTATATATATACATATGTATATTTACAAATATTTACACACGCAAGACTGCATTGACGCTTTGCGCCATGCACCTTGGTTCTCCAGGTTTGGTATGCAGGCGGAAGCAGAGGAAACGCAACACATATGTCAATATCTCATTGTTGCCTTTTACGGCATCGATGTTACACCTCCTGATTCCCTCATATTTCCTGTTCCTCATACTCCCTAGCCCTTCTTGCGGAGGCTCCTCCTTGGAGAGCCTCCTGGGGGCCTCGCGAAAATTCGTAAGGGCTTCTTGGGGCCTTTTTGGAGGCCTCCTGGGTGTCTTCTGGGATCCTCTGGGGGCTTCCTCGGGCCACCCTGCTTCTAACCGCGGTCTCCCTGAAAGGCCAGGTCACGATTTTGAATGCTTCGGTGGTCGTCTTGGGTCCATCTTGGGCCGTAGTGGGGCTCTCCTCGGACCATGTTGGGGTCCTGTTGGGCTGTCTTGGGGCTCAGCTTGACTGTCCAGAAGCCCTTTTGGGCAGTTTTTGGGCGATTTTTCCAACCTCTTGGGCAGTCTTCTTGGGGTCGTCTTCGGGCGTCTGAGGGGCGTCTGGGGCCGCTCGGGACTCTGGCCGTTCGACCGCTCTCCTCACCGAATCTGGGCCCGTTGTGGCGAGGCCCCGCAAGGGCGCCCAGGAGCCTTGGAAAGCCCAGGGGAACCCTCCGCAAGGGCGTCCAGGGGGTCCCTAGGGCCACGGATCTGGGGGGTCCCGTTTCGGGGGGCGGTGGGTCCGCATCCCCCAGAATTTCAGACAGAGAGAAATGTACATCTCTCTCTCTCTCTCTCTCTCTCCCCCTCCCTCTTTCGAGAGAGAGAGAGAGAGAGAGAGAGAGAGAGAGAAAAAGAGAGAGAGAGAGAGAACGAGAGAGAGAGAGAGAGAAGAGAGATGGAGAAAGAGAGAGAGAGAGAGAGAGAACAGAGAAAGAGAAATATACACCTATATATATGAGAGAGAGAGAGAGAGAGAGAGAGAAAAAAAAAAGAGACAGAGAGAGAGAGAGGGAGAGAGAGGGAGAGAGAGGAAGAGAGAGAGAGCGCGAGCGCGAGAACGAGAGGGAGAGATAGGGAGAGGTACACACATATATATATAGAGAGAGAGAGAGAGAGAGAGAGAGAGAGAGAGAGAGAGAGAAAAATAACGCTAACCACAGAGCGGGCAGCAGAGGCAAACCCGCTGCCTCCGCGGCCGCCGCCGCCGCGCCAGCGGACGAGGCCTCGGGCGCGGCTGCCGGGGCCCCGCCGCCCGCGGCCGCGGCCGACGCCGGCGGGGCCGCCACCGCCTCCGCGCGAAGGGGGCCGACGACGGCGACGGCGACGACGGCGACGACGACGGCGACGACGGCGACGACGACGGCGGCAGCGACGACGACGGCGACGACGACGACGGCGACGACGGCGACGACGACGGCGGCAGCGGCGCCGACGGCGACGGCGACGACGACGACGACGACGACGGCGGCGACGACGGCGACGACGACGACGGCGACGGCGGCGAGGGCAACGGCGGCGGCGACATCGGCGGGGCCGCCACCGCACCGCCTCCACGCGAGCAGGCTTAGAGCCCGGCGGCAAGCGAGATGGGCTTTGCGATGTCGTCGTCGTCGTCGTCGTCGTCGTCGTCGTCGTCGTCGTCGGCGTCGGCGTCGTCGTCGTCGTCGTTGACGTCGGCGTCGTCGTTGTCGTCGTCGCCGTCGCTGTCGCCATCGCCGTCGTTGTCGCCGTCGTCGTCATCGTCGTCGTCGTTGGGGGGGGGGGTGAGGAAGGAGGATCGATGCTCTTGGTTCTCGTCGCCACGGTCGGACGCAGCTCGGAAAACTGGTCTGGATGCACGCCAGGAGAGGTCTAGGAACACAATCAATTTTGAATGGTTCTTGGTCGGACGGCGTCGACGAGACGAATCAAAGAAAGAGGACCTATCTTGTGGACGTTTCCGGCCCTTCTCAAACCTGTGGAGGCCCTCTGGGACCTGAAAAAGATAAGATTCTTCAAGGGTCAAGGTTTGTCCGTGGCCATACCGTTAGGCATTGCACATTCGATGGCTGTGAAAGTATCGCAAAGAACTCCACTGGCTGGTTAGCATCACCTCTTGGTGAAATCGGCTGGAGAACCTTCCAGTGACGGCCACCCTGTCGGGCAAATGCCCGCGCTGCACCGCTGAGTGCCCCCAAGTCGCCACCAGGCGGCGAAAGGAAGAGGACAAAGAGAAGGATAGGCGGGAGCAGGATGGGTGGAGGCAGCAGCGACGCAAAACATTGGCATTGCAGAGATCGGCGGGCGGCTCCCGATCTTCTTCGGGGAAGGCTTGCTCCTAGAAGCACACTCGAGGAAAAGGAGGTGGGGGGGGCGGCGGAAGCAGATCAGACCGGAGGAGATGAAGGCTTTCAAACCTGTTGACCCACCGCACGTCCCAGCCGCACCCTTGTCGGTATCGCCACGTGCTGCCCCACATCGGGAAGCCCCCTCGCACGGTCTGCCAAGGGAGGCCTGCATGTGTACGCTCACGAGCGGGTGCTTCTTCTTGGATGGAGCCCTCTGAGAGCTCATCTCTTCGAACAGTTTGGGATGCCGTGTGCACAGAATGTGCATCTGAACATCTTAATACTGTGCCCAACTTGCTCTCGTAGGATGCGCGTTAGCGTAAAATCAACAACGATGCTCCGTGCGAAAGCTCCATTCAGAGCGGCATGCCACCAATCTATTTCCTATTCTGTAGTCTAGCTTATAAGAAGTTCGTCGCAATACTTTCTGGTGAAACGGTTACGTGCACAAGACGATTGTCATGTCAGAGCGGGAACATATATACTGTATACTGTAAACATGACATGCCTGGTATGGCCACAACAGGCGCCGATCCGAGACATGACCTTTGCGCGGGAAGGTTTGGCCACGTCGCATAATGTCGGGGCTCGAGGTCCGCCGCCGCGACTGCAGTGCGCGCGTCGGAGTGTACTAAGCACCCGAATTGCTTTTACCGAATATGATGGTTCCTTGAACAGGAACAATTCAGCCCCCCTCGCGAAGCAGACCCCAATGTATACACACTTCCAACCAACATCTAAACACACGTTTCAAACTTTTTGTGCACTCTGAGTCTGCCAGTGTCGGGAAATCCAGAAGCACGTCCCCCTCTTGATGGCCATTCACGTCGCCTGCAGGCCCAATGTTGGCCCAATCCAGCCCCAAAGTGACTACAAGTGTGGCCAAGTGGTGCTCTCCAGACGGCTCCGAAAGCCTCAACGTGGGACTCAGTGCCTCTCCTGACTACACCACGAGTCCTCTAGATGGCCTGACGACTCGAAACGGCTCCCTAAACAAGCCATCCACGACGCCCTTGAAAGGGAGAGCGCATGATACATACCTATACGACCCCCCTTCGGGTGATAAGGAGGGGGGGAGGGGGCAACTGATGACAGCTGCAGTGGCTGTGATGGTGATAATGCTGGTGACCACGAGTTTGCGACGACGCACAACGACGATGCTGGTGACACTGCGTGATGGCGATGCACGGCGGCGATGCTAGTGACAATGCATGTGGTCGTGGCGATGCGTGGCGGCGATGCTGGTGATGAACAGGGCATCGCAAACGGGCAGCGCGCAACAAGAGCAATGCAACAAACAACTTTGGCTGGCAGAGCCTGGCTAGCGGCACGACGCACCCGCGATGGCGCACTCACGTCGGTGATTGCGTCATCACCGCAGTCGCAAGCAAATACATGCCACCTCCATTGCTGGAGGTGGCATTTATTTTCCCATGACTGCTGTGGCGCTATCTTAGTATCAATCGGTTTCACCACCTATCTCATACTCGATGGCACTATCTACCGCCCTCGCGACCAACGGAACGTTGAACCATGTGACATTGATGTGCCTGGGCGCCCTTTAGGAAAACAAGCTGAAAACATACACGGCCGCAAGACACCACGAGACACCACGGGATACCACTATCAATCCGACTATTGATCTCCCTTCCCTCTATCGATCGATCTGACTATCTATCGACCTCACCGTCGATCTCACTCACGATCTCGCCATCGATCTCACAGTCTATCTCAATTTCGATCTCACTATCTATCGATCTTGCAGTCGACCTCACTGTCGATCTCACTTTCAATTTATCAATCGACCACACTATCGATCTGACCATCCATCTACTATCGAACATCTCAATGTTGCAATCACCATCGATTTGTGTATCGATCTCACTATTGATCCCACCCAATCGATCTCACCCAATCGGTCTCACTATCGACCTAACGGGGTACCACGGGACACCTGCGGGGAGGAGAGACATTGAGCTCGGCTTCGCCCTAGCCAAGGCGGGATCATTCCTCTCGCCCGCCCACGCAGCTTCGCCCCGCCCGCGCGCACGACACGAGACCGAAACCAATTTCCCGGTGGGGGGCTCTCCGTTTTACTGCGAGCTCACCTCGCCATCGCTGGGATGTCCATTCCCCGTGCACTTTCGGATTCGTGCGTCGATTTTCCGCACGACGATCCCAGATGCCGCTCGATGGACCGAGCAAAAGGGCACACGTCCGAGCGATGCCAAGCCTTGCCGCTGCCTCACCCCAGCGACGCCCGCACTCCCAGGCCTGGGTCAGTCTCCTTTTGGACGCCCGAAATGGGCACGGAAAGAATGGGTACAATGCCCAACAACACATGTTGTCCCAAACCAACAGCGGCCGCTGTTGGGCAGGCGGCCTTCTGTCTCGAACGGACACAGGCCGCGGCGGCGCGGACAGCGAGTCCTGTTCAAAATGCACAAGAACTGCTGTTGGGCATCGTACGCATTCTTTCCGTTCCCATGTCGGGCGTCCAGCCTCCTGGCATGACGTCCAGCGGGGATCGCCGGCTGCCGCCCTCCCCGGCCTCCAGGCCACGCTGGCCTCCGACTGGAGCCTGCCCTACCACGGCTCTCGCCCCGGCCCTCGCGCACGGCCCTCGTGCCTTCGCAAGACCTCCGACGTGCTCCCGTTCCCTTCCTGGTTGATTTGTAGGTCTCGCATGGGCTCCTCCTGGCCTTGATGTGAAGCCTCTCCTTCTGTCCCCCCCTCGTTAATTCAAGCTTCGCGCGGCCCCCTTAGCTTCGACCGGAAGAGGTGCGCTCTCGACCCGCGAATAAAAAAAGTGGGTCTCGCATGGGCTCTGCCGAGCTCCGGGACTGCCTCCGGGCGGCCCTCCGCGGCTCCCTGGTGGGCCGGAGGACCCCCCGAGGGCCAACAGACCGTGCAGAGGCCCTCCAGCGCCCCGAGACGGCCCAGGCCACCCTGAGCGGGCTTTCCAGTCGACCCCAAGACAGCGCAGTGCTGGCACAGCATGGCCCCAAAGATGCCAAGAGACGGCCCCAGGACTCCTGACGAGCTCCCCAGACGGTCCCAGAACAGAACCCCACCATGGCTCAAAGATCTCCCCGATGGCCCGAACACTCCAAAGAGACTGCCCACAGGCCCTCAAGTGGTTCCTTCGAAAATTCTCAGGAACTTTCGACAAGATCCCACAACGCACGGCGGCCATCGCAACTTCCCGGAGCGCGGTGGCGGGTACGCGCAGGGGCGCAACAATCTTTTGTCTTTTCGTGCTGCTGCACCTATCCGCCCGCACCAGGTAGCGACAAAACCACGGGGCCACGGCGCCATTGACCGGCAAGGGCACAGGGCCACGGGGCACCAGCTCCCATGCTTTCTGGGGGGTGGCTGTGACTGGAGAACATGTGGAGAGTTGCAGTGCTGGAAGCTTTGGCGACCGCGTTGCTCAGCGCTGCGCTGCTCGCAGTGGCAGCATGCAGGGATCATAGCTCCCACGCTGGCCGCGCAACACCGCAGAGCATGTGGCGTGCAGGGATACAGCACAGGTGATGATAACACGGTGTTCCACTGGCTGTGCCAGGTGCCTGCAGACTGCCCATGTGACACATCTTAGCGGAACACTTGTAACTCATTGGCTTGGCTCCTTCGCTTTGGGGCATCTTGCGGCTTGGGCCGCGATGGGCACGCCATCCCCGTGGTCCCCAACCCCCTTCCACACCTCTGGAAGATGCAGCCTGAGTTTTGATCAAGACAAATCACAATTTGAGACACCTGGCCCAGCTTTGCGGAAGTTTCTGAACACAGAGCTGGGCCAACTTTTTCGGTTCATGCTGGAAGGGCGAAGGTGCTCAAGAAACTGGGCCAGCTTTCAGGCAAGCTGGTCAAGAAACGCTGGCCCAGATCTTCGGGAGGAGGTTCACCCGATGCCCGACCGTAATGCAGAAGCGCGGGGGAACGAGAACCGACAGGTG